GTTTCGTCTGCAACTCGATCTGAAAATCCATCTTCCGTTCCTGGTTTTGCGTGACAACGTCGCGCAGCTACTTATTTATAGTACTGTACTTTAAAGTGTATAAGTAACGCATTATTCGTGATCTGCATCCTGCATAAAATTATCACGTGTAACGAATTTTATTGGTTTTTTCTGACAGACATTGCATGATCGTGCATTGAAATTTTCTAGAAGTATAAGTCCTCTGCTTCGCTTCGGACAATTAGTAGTATTTATGATGATTTTTTTGTTAGTGAAACGTTACATGCTTAAAAAGTACTTTAAAGTATATAAATAAGCTGCCACAGTCAATTGATTCATACCAGCCAATCATACAAAAGTCTTTCTATGGCATGATTTATTGTATTAATTTAATCGATTACAATTTTTCAGAGGTTTATTAAGCGAATAATCATTAAACAATTGATTGGTTCGAAATTCTAAACCGATTGTTGCCAAATTTCGATTAGTTGGTTTTCGATTCGAATCACTAGTTTAAGAAAATCAAGGACTGTGAACAAACGATGCCGCATCATATAGCTATTTACTTAGCGTAAGAATTTAATAAAGTATTTATGCAGTAATTTAAGCGCATAAGTACTTGAATAAGAACTTGACAAAGAATTCACGTAAAAGATTTTATATTAGTAAGCAAGAACTTTATTACTTTGTTACGGATGAACAAGGCCTGGTCATATTTTCTTACATACGGAACACATCATTTATTATTTTTGTGGAACATGCAATCATCCTAATTGGGCAGTTGGTTTTGATTTAGTTATGTGCACTTGTGTAACCACAAAAATAAAGCATATGAAAGAAAAAAGGAAACATAAATAATTTATGATCAAATGGATTAATCATTGACCTAATAAAGATTAGAAACATTATTTTTCCAATATCAATTAAATGCATTGTAATATTCCAAATTTGAAAACAAAATAAATATCGCATACATACACATAGAGCATACTACCCTAAATAATATAATAGAAATTTCATTTTCAATACATATACATCATTTAACCGGGAATGAAATTCCGGATTGTGTATATTACAACAGCGAAAATCGAATATAGATAATTATTTCACCTTTGTTAATTTAGTTTGATGTTTATTTTTATTATTCAAAAACTAAAAAAAAAAAAAAAAAAAAAATTTTAAGGTAATGAAGGCCTTTTATATTTCATTCATTATCTTAAGTGCAATATTTCCAATTTACTGTTTTCCTGAGGGTCGTGGTGGACATGAATCAGTACAAGTAAATAATAAATTATATTTTATGGGAGGCTCTCGCCTAATTCCTAATTCAAATCTGAAAAGATATAATTTATCGGATGAAGTATTTTATTTAGACCTTTCATCACAATTTGATACTGAAAATCCACCATTTGTGGATCTTACCAATGGTACTTCACGAATGTTTTATGGAAACGAAAAAGGTTAATATTGGTTTTAAATATTCATTCTAAGCTCCATTAATAAACCATTCTATTTTAATCTTCATACTAACTACTATGTTAATTAGGAGCTGCAGTTCTTGGAGGATCTAATCGATCTGACATATACTTGATCGGTGGAACGCAATTGAATTTTTCAATGGTAAATTGGAACGCCACGGATCAAATAAATTGGAACGCTACAGACCAATTTATTTACATTTATAGAACTTCCGCTAACATCTGGACAAAGTTTGAACAAGGAGTTAAAGGAATTCAGCCTTCAAGACGTAGATCAACTTCGACAGTAATCAAACCTAATGGAACAATATATATATTTGGCGGGAGGATAGAAAAGGATATGGCGTCAGACAATCTTACTTTATATAATGAATTATATGAATTTGATACAATATTATTGTCATGGATTCAAATAGTGGCAGACAATGCTCCTTCACCCCGAAGCCATAGTACCGCAACATTGCTTCAGAATGGAAAAATTGTTTACATTGGTGGTGTTTCTCAGGACAAACCTGGAAGCCAGACTAATTTAATTATTATGACAGAGGTAATGATCAGAATAATGATTATTATTTATGATATGCTTACTTAACGTTATATACAATTTTTTTGTTATAGATCCGAATTTTTGATACGACTTTTTTATCCTGGTCATCGCATGTATGTACATTCTTAATAATTAATCCTTTAGCTTATTGACATATAGTATTTATGTAAACTTATGTTTTTTATAGACTGCAAACGCTCCATTTCCAATCCAACCACGGGTCGGACATACGGCAGTATTAGCACCAGATAATAATTCAATTATTATAATGGGTGGTACTTCAAGTTATCAGTTAATGCAAACAACTGTTACTCCGAATTTGCTAAAATTGGATATTAGATCTGAGCCTTATCAATATTCTATATTACAAACTTCTGGAAATAATCAACCACCTACACTATCGTTTCATACTGCCAATATATATTCGGATTATATGATCGTCGCTTTTGGTAATTATCATTATTGGTTTATTTTTGTCATGTAAAGACGTTTGCAGGATTAACATTCACTTTTTTAAAAATAGGAAATATAACAAATGGTGCAACTGATTCAAATGAAACCAGTTCAAAGGTCTATTTGTTATACATTCCATGCTTAACTTGGGAATATACTTTTGTTCCTAATAGATCAGACTGTAAGAATAAAGATGAGAATAATCATGGATTGATTATTGATATCGTTATTCCTATCGGTTGTTTAATAATTATTGGTGCAATAATATTATATTGTTTGTACAGACGTAAGAATGAAAGATGTAAAGACTTGGATTGCTTTAAAATTTGGCATAGGAATCAAAATCAAACGCAAAATACAAAGCCTGTTGAACAGCCTAGTTAACTGGGTAGGCAGAAATGGAAATTATGTTCACAAAAAAAGGTTATACTGAACTGTTATAATTAATCACCCAATTTTCACAAATTTCTATTTTGCATGATTTTCTTATAAACACGGGTAGAGCTTTCTCTTACAATTCATACAATTCCCGCCCTACATAATTAATAAAAGGCTCCTTTAAAATCATATTTCAATAAAAAAAAAAAAAGAGAGAAAAGAAATACAAAGTCCAATCGTAATAAAAACGTTCTTTAAAACCCATTTACTTACCTTGTAACGATACTTGGAAGTTTCCTTAGATCTTGCCAAATCGAATCCGCCTCGCCATTGCTTCCGAGTAACGCTACGCGACGTCAACGATTTTCGAGCGACAATTCATCACATTTCTTCTATTTTGTTGGTGCGTGTATAACCCTAGTGGCCCCTAACAATAGTTCTAAAATATTTGAATAATCTATTTAATGATATTAATAATACTGGCTCTCAGACCTGAATTGTTCCGGATTTGAAGTCATTTATTTAGCTATTTCATTGTTTATTCATCTTTTAATATATAAATTTTTAATTTAATCTACAAGATATAATCTTAGAAAAACATATTAGACATTGAAATTGATTCTTTGTTGACGTTATCCCCTTCTATCTTCAGTATCTCTCTCAAAATAACTCTCTATAATACTGTCGGGATCATAGTACCATTTTTTAAAAAAATGTGCTTATAAAGAATTGTGCTTATATAAAGGTTTTTTCCTATGTGTTTATAATAATTTGGTTTAGAATATATGTGCTTATAAAGAGAACTTTTATATGCTTATATGTGCAAGGGTAGAATCGCCACCAAATAAAGTTCAAGGAAATTTTCGTTTTTTTTTTAGGTTAGGGTTAGGAATTTGCTATTAGATCAGTGTCTAAGAACATTCTTAAAGTAAAATTTTACAAGGAAAACTTTTAATTAATACGCAAAAGGCAGTTCCATATACTAAATTTTGGGTTGTGAACGATTTTTGACAAAATGAATGAATTTTTCTGATCGTGTTACGTTACACCTAATCTTGAGTTTGATTGGTCATGAAACTTTGGCTGTAGCAAATTGATAAATATAATTGTCAAGATTTTTTAGTCAATTATCGGTCTGAATGTTTCGCTCTATTATACAATCTTTTTTTGTAAAAATATGCAAAATAAGTTAATTTCAAATGGCCCTATCAAAGGTTAATTGTCGGCATAAAAATAAAATACCAACCATCTGCGCATGTTGGCACTTTGTGCTTATGAACATAAAGGATGTCTGTAACAAGATCCATACTATCTATTAGTATAATATTTTTCTCATGGAGTATTCTACCATTTTCTTTATGTGTGCATTATAAGTATACGATTTTGGTCATACATCGATTAATATCATGAAACGTGGTTTGTCGGAATAAATGCAAATAATTTGCTCCGACAGAACACATTTAGTGATATCTGATTTTAATTCGGGATTCTGTACAACAAATAACAAGAAAAATCCATGCTCATAAGTTTTCTTGATAACTACTCTAAATTGCAAATAAATCTTTACTATTTATATGTTGGCTAAGAAGATCGCAAAGCTTTAAATGAAAAGATGTACCAAATTTTATCGTTATGATAATAAACAGGTTGAGTTTGCAATAGCAAGCCAAGGCGTTCAATAACTTGTATTATTAAAATTAACACTAAAATGCATATAAGTACATGCCCGCGTTTTTGGTTAAGGAAGGATTTATGTTCTCTGAATAATCCTCAAAATAAATTTATGTTCTCTTTTGTAATAAACCTAAAAATACGAGTTTCGTATTTTAATGACCATTTTATTGATATTAACCATCGGAGCTAAACTTATCATCTTCATTACGATGATTATAATACTTATTTGCATCCGTGAAACAATTCATATATGGAATAGATAGACATATTTAAAGAATAGACAATAAATACGAAAATAAATGAATGTCTAATCAACTTCGATTACAATATACAATCAAAAGTGTCGGAAGTGCAATTTGGCATATAAGGACTTTTCTCTAATTAGTCATTGTCATCTCTCTTATTAATATCCTCAAATTTCTAATTATTCATACGTATTTACTCGACTTCAGTTATAATATCCTTTTGTCTTGTGTTACGGTGGAAATAGTCCAAAGCCAAAAAAAATCCTGTGCATCTAATTATACTGCAAAATCAAAAATTTTAAAACATTTATGAAAAGCGCTAACAAAAAAAAGTTCCTTGCAAAATTTTGTTATAGAACTATTTTTCCTTGACTTTAATTATGGTTATAATATATTCAGGATTACTTTGAATCCTGCATTTACCAATTTGCATGTTATACATGAACTTGCAATGTGACTAATTGTTATTATGCAGAGCTCTTCAGTAAAAGCATCAGTATAACCAATGATCGAGGGAAATCACATTATTTTTCGACAAAAAAACTTTGTATTTACTTTTTCTTTTTAATAAAAAATAAAGACATTGATCCAAGACAAAATGTTGTATAAGACAATTCTTTGCAACCTTATTGTCAAATCAACAACTTAACAAACATCAATTGATCAATCATGAAACATATTCTAAACTTTCCAAAAACAATATAAGTAAAAAAGCATCTAAATACTCTCTCATCTTTACTTTTAAAAAAAAAACCATACACATTTTAAACAAACAATTATTGATAAGTAATTATTAGATGTGATTTTTTTTAAGGTTGGATCTATTTATTGCTCGTTTGATGTTTAGTTAGCACGTACTGAATCTCTTACAGGTTACGCTGATTATGTCATTCACTTGGCCGTTCATATGCAAGGCGTCAGACCCGGGGTGTAATGCATAAACTATTAAGGGTAGAGTACAATGTAGATCATTTCTATATATAATTAGTTGCAAAAAAAATTTTATATAGTAACTACAAAATATATTACTAATAAAACTTTTTTATTTTTTAATTAATTAATAAAAAAAATTTATAATATTATAAATAAAATTATTTATCTATTATAGTAAAATTTTGAATTATTATATTATTTTAAAAAAATGTACTTGTATAAATAATAAAGTTTGCCTAAATAATACAAAATTGAATAATTTGTTTGGTTAAATTTTTTTTTATTTTTTTTATTTTAGTCCCTATCTTTGAAATGTAACATTTTTATTCAAGTATATAGAACATGATATGTTACCAGTGGTTACCTTACATTGAAGGTCATAACTAGCTACATGTGCATTTTTAGTATCTAATTTAAGTAGTCTGCTTATATATTGCTATATAAGTTCTACACTAGTTGTTATACCTGCAAGCTAATTAGAGGTTTGCTTATTTAAATCTTCTGTATATACAATCTTCTTTATATTATGAGAACATTTTCAAAACTATACTCATTCAAGTTTCTGATGCTGATCAGTACTCTTAGGAATACTTTATTCTTAACAGAAAACTTACTAAAGCCTTTATATTCTATATATATAGACCTAGTTTTATACAATATACTATAGTTATCTAACACTTGCAGTTACAGGAGTTATCTGTTTAACTGTTATATTATACTATTTCTACTTTTGTAAAGTTTACTAGAACTCAATACCTATTTTTTAGCATCTTCTCCATTATTCTCTACTAGCTACAATTTGAAACCAGCAGTCTCTTTCAAACTACCAATTCAAATGGCCTAGTATGATATATTTTTGTATCTTTTTTCTTTGGTGAGTCTGACAGCCTGATTGATTATGTGTTTCTCTATACATATTTGATGTTAATTTAACTTTCAGTTTCTATAAAGATGTTTCACAGACTTTAATTAATCTAATAGTACTATTAAAAGTTCATGCTATCTCTTTACTTAGGAATTTCCAAGTAAGTTTCTGTTATCTCAGTTATTGGTTAATTTATAAAAATCTATAAGTTAATTTTATTATATAGTTTTATAAACTAATGTTGTTTTTTTTTTTTTTTTTTTTTAAGATCATACTTGTGGTGATATTTTATTGACTTTATATTAAGTAAGCTATTACAACTATTTTTACAGAGATGAGAGTACAGCTAGTCACACATACAACTTTTGATTGCCTATTTAAGTAATCTGCCCTAAGGTTCTACAATAGATGCTATACCTATAACCTATTAGAAGATTATCCATTTAAACTCTTTGATTATTCACCCTGTTATATTGGAATCCTCAACTTACCCTTTGTATATACCTAATTGGTATATCATCTAAGCAGTATGATTATCTACCCTTTTTGTATAGTTTTAGGCCATTATATATTTCAGAATATGTCACCTAGCAGTAAAATGCAAGGGGCCTCCTGTTGTTAACTATCTACCTACTTTTAAAACACTAACACAGGTTACCCTTACAGAGTTCACTCAGACCCCAGTACTAACTTCATAGTATATCCCTAGTACTTTTAGTATTCCTCTGTTTTGAATTCAGACTCTCAATCCAGATAGCCCAGAAGCACTATGACCGGTCCTTGGTATATTAAGGCTGGCCTAATATGCTTTTTCTCTAGTCAGAAATCTAGTGATCTGGTTAGTGGTACCTCTTATCCAAGGTTTTAGTCTGCCTAAATTCTTTACATTGGTATCCATTTTCTAGGTTTAGCCTTTACAGTAATACTATTAAAGATCTGTATTACCTTTTTGCTTAGAATTTTCAAATAGGCTTCAGCTTCCCAGTTCTACAGATTTATATAACCTGAGGACTTATTTTAGGTTTTCACCACCCAGTATCAGTTTGTATTCTTTTGTGTAACAAGTTACACAGATGTTCTAGACCTTTCAGTCATGCTAGTGTGACCATAGTTACAGATATCCTATCCCTACTGATCAACAGAATGCCATTATCATAATACTGTCTATATATTATATAGGTGATTATTTAAATTTTGCCATTGGTAGGTTTTGAACTCACAACCTACCACTTAGGAATATGACAACTTATCCACTTTACTAAGTTGCCATACTCATAAACTAATGTTTAAAAACTCATATTTTAATGAGTTTTTGCACAATTTTAATAATTTTATTAGTATTAAAATTAAAAAGATATACTCACAACTTTTATATAAGGATTAAAATTTATTTACTTAATATATTTTTTCAAAAAATTAAATATAAAAAAAATAGATAAAAATTTGTAACTAATTATATATAGAAATGATCAATATAATATTCTATTTTTAAAGTCTAACCTTTATTTAATTAAATAATAAGTTTAATTGATTAGTAATATATAATAATGAAGTAATCATTAAATTATTAATAATAAAAGAATAATATTTTCTAATTTATACATGTATTTTTTTTTAGTTTACAAATATTTTTATGATATAGCATATTGGTGAAATAAATATTAATATAATGAATACAAATACCTTGTAGATTGCTAATCTTATTATAACAAATTTAAGGATTTATAATTTATCAAATAATTATTGATGATATTTAATTTGCTTTATATATTTTTTAGATATTAGCTTGGAATTCATTATTAGAAGTATTAAAACTAATTTTTCTGTAGAATTATACTTATTTAATTCAAAAATTTCAAAAAATTGCATTATGCCAAATACAAAAGGGTTTTAATATTTCAAATTTTAAGTTAAACATGTTTGTAGATATTAATGAAAGAAAGTGTATATGAATAGATAGAAACATTTCAATCATATTATTAAACAACTATGTCTCAAAAAGAGGTTATGATATTAAAGACAATTATATTCTTTTTATAAAAAAAAAATACTATATACATAATCATGAAGTCAAAAAAAATAAAAAAATATTAAAGTTAAACATTCAAATCATTATATATAAGTAATATTTTCTGTATAGCAATTATTTATTTATAAATAGATATTGAAAATTTTTATTTACCTATTTATTAGAAATTAATCTTAAATATATACATAATCATGTTGTTAACTCTGCAAAATTATTAAGCTTTTGACATATTAATAAAATAATTTAAAAGAAATTAATAAATTTATTTAAGAAGAACATTTTCCTTCTTCTACATTGCATGTATATAAAGATATATCACATTTCAATACTACAAATAAACAAGAATTATTAGAAATTATTATAGATTAAACTAGTAACTCTGATTACAATTATGTTTATTATCTTTTTAGAAAATATAGTAAAGAAGTATATAAAAGTCTTAATAGAAAACTAATATTTAAATAATTAATTATTGTTGTTAAAAATTACAATAATTTAAATTATAGAAAGAAGCTATATTACAAAAATATAATACGTGTATTAAAAAATTTTTTATTTTTTATATATAATAAGTCTTATATATTATATATATAAAAAGATTCTTTAAGTAAATTTTATTATATAAATGCATCAACATTATTTAATTCTTTAAATTCATCAATTACACTTTTATATCTAGTTGTGCAGCAAATATATTTTTATTAAATTGTTTGTTATTTTAGATAAATTTGAAAAAGTATTAAATTTATTAAAAATGATTTTTTCTTTAAATGTTTTTATAGATATAAATTACAAGTTAAATCACAAGTATTTTTAATAGATACTTCAAGTGTAAATGCAATGTCTTAGAGCTTTGTTAGCCAATTAGAATTTGTCGTCTTTATACATTCTATTTTTTGAAAGCATTTTAAAGATTACTTTATAATTCAAATTATAAAATAAATAAAGATAATTATAAATTTATTATACAAAAAATAAAAAAAATTGTATACTATATTATAAATATTGCTAAAAGAAGAGACTATTATCAAGTTTATTAATGATTTTAGATGCATTGAAGATGTAGATAAAGTCAGTTTCTGATATTGTAGGTATAACAATATTAAATTTTTTAATAATGTATTAGTTTGCTTAATTAAAGTATGACTTATTAAGATTTTTTTTTAAGTTGAATAATAGTTGGTTTAGAGATTTGGGTAATGTCATAATAAGCAATAATTCTTGCTAAGATTTGTAGATTACTTGTTTGAAAAGAGATTTTGTTCGATACTTCTTTGAGATTAAGATTAATAATTTTATTGTTTGTTGTTACAGATTTAAAGTAAGCTTTAAGATAGCAGTAAAAGAAATAAGATATACATTTAGAATTAGTAGATGTATTGTTTAGTTAAATAAAGTTTTCTTCAGATTGGTTAGCTAGTTTATAAAATTCTTTAAAATGTAAAAGTGTATAGAATGTTGCTAAGATGAATTTAGAAAGATTTAAAAGCAGATATATATATTGTTGAATAGGTATAATGTTAACAGATTGTTTAAAGTAGTAGAAAGTTAGATTATAAATATTATGAGTTGTTTTTAAATTAAGAATTTTACATTTTTTCTGATAGTACAAGTGTATATGTAGTGTATTGCTATTTTAGTAACATAGTTTGTTTGATTTTAAATAAATTAAAAAGTTAATAGTTTAGGTTTTTAAAGAATTAGCTTCTTGTATCAATTATTAGTTGCTATTGTTATTTGGTATTTAATATAATTGTAAACTTTTGTTTATTGATATTACTAAATTGTTTTTTGTAATGTATAAAAAATTTTTAAAATCAGATATCAAATTGTGGTTTGATTAAGTAAAAAGATGAAATACAATAGTTTGTATTAAATTTTTTTTTTTTTTTTTTTTTTTATATATATAATATCAAATAGGAAAAATAGTAATACAAAGATATATCAATTGTATATAAATATATAAATAAAATATTCCTAAACTACACTATTGTTACTATATATATAACAGCATCTAGCATAATATTAACATTTAATTTTCTGTTTTAGTTAAATCTACTATCATAATTATTAACTACAGAGGAAGGTAAAAGGAACCTTTAAGATTATTTTAATTAGTAAAAGCAGATATATATAGTAAAATTTTAAAAAAGAGTTTTAAGAATAAATTAGTCTATATTAGTATTAAATATGAATATGTTGTTATTGGAGTTAAAAGGTTGTATAATAGTTAATCAGGCATTTTTTTTCCTTTTAGTAAGAGCAATAATTCCTCATGCTGATTCCAATTTATGTTGTTTAGTATTACAAGTTTGCCGGATAGTAAAATTAAACCAGTTAAGTAGAGAGTTAAAAAAAAGATAAGAAAGTTGTTAGTTAATTTTTTTAGAATTTGTTGAAGTTGTTTATATTAGTCAAGTGTTATTGTGCCTTGAATAAGTAAAAGTATTGTGTTATATATAGTAAAGTTTGGAGAAAGGTTTTGTAAATTAAGGATTTAAATTATAGTATGTAGTGAAACTTGAATGTTTTGTGAATTGTAAGTATGAAGTAAGCATTGAAATAAATATTCAATGTTTTCATATTAATTACAATAGAAACAATATAAATTTAAGTAGAGTAGAAGATAGTGAATATTTAAATTTAACATTGTTGGCAGGTTATTAAAAAAGATTTTATTTCTAATTGAATAAAGTTTCAAATTAGAATTTTGTAAATTAATGATTTCAGTAAATAGTAGAATGTTTATAGTAGAAAGATTTTGTAATAGTTTAAGTTGAAGAAGTTTGCTAAATGTTTGAATAAAAAAGAGGTTTTTATAGAATTTATAAAGTTTGAATGTAATTAGTATTTCTTTTCAAGTAAAGAAAGTAGGTAAATAAAAATAGTCAAGGTTATATTTTAGTTCTGTTTTTTTTGTACCTTGTTTAGCTAAAGCATTAGCACTATTATGTAAAGTGTTATTTAAATATGATTTAACTTTGTGCATAATATAATTTATATTTTTAAGTTTGGTTAGATAGTTTAGAATATGAATAATATTTTAGTTGTTTTGTTTGATTTGAGAATTGTAGTTATAAGGTATTGAATTAGTAAGAGTTTGTATAGTAGATAAGCTGTTTAAGTGAATGTAGATTGAATAGTTAGGAGGTAAGATAAGAAATAAAAAAATGAGTGCTACTAGTTTTGCTCATGTTGAGTTTGGTCCAAGGTTTATAGAAACATTAAATTTAATTTGTATATCATTTTTCAGAATTCAGACTATGCCAGTAGAAGTATTATGTGTTTGTAAATTAAATATAGAAACATCTGTATAAAAATATATATTAGTTGGTTCAAGAGATAGTAATTTTTTGTAAAAGTTTATAAGTTGGTTTTGGTATATGAGATTAGGTATTATGTTTTGTATTAGAAGAATTTCTAAAAAGAGTAGTGAAAGTGATGGTAGAGATTTTGGAGCTGGTTTATATAGGTTTGCATAAATGTTTTGAAGTGTTTTGATTTTTTGGTTGTTTATGTTGAGTTCAAAGTTTTGTTTTCTTTTTTGTGTTTTGCATTTAAGATTAATGATTTGTTTGTAATTTATTTAAAGTATTGTTGATATAAAAGAAATATAGATTATGTTAGTTGTTGAGTTTGTAATTTGGTATTTATGAAACAGTACTTGAAAGTTAGATGTATTGGTTATTTTGCCAATATGCCAATCTAAAAGTGAAATATAAAATGACCATGTATTTTTTGAGATAACAATTGAGATGTAATAAGATTTAATATATTTAAAAATAGGTTGATAAGTTGAAATTAAAGATTAGATCATATATGCAAAATAGAATGGTCAAATATTTGGTTTAAGAGTATTTTAAACTATTTTGGAGTAGGATCTTGTGGAGGTTTGAAAGTTCTGAGATATATGTTTTTCCAAGAAAGAAGGTTGAGATTATCAGATGTGAGTAATTGTTCTAAAAAAAGAATTCTATTGTTTTTAAGGCTTAGAGTTGTTGAGTTGTTAGAAGTTGTAATAAAATTATAAATCTTGTTTAGCTGTTTAGTATGTTTGTAATTTGTTAATTAATTTAGATAGGTGTTGTTAATAGTAATATTATTTTTGTATAAATAATAGAGTTGAGATATTATAGTATAGTTAGTAGATTTTCTATAGTTGGTTAGAATTGTATTCTAGGTTAGAAATAGTTTCAATATTTTAAAAAGCCAATTCTTAACCCAGTATATAGAGATTTGGTTTAGAAGTATGTTAGAATTGAAGCATCTTTTTATGTTATTGCTGCTAATTTAAAGTATAAGTTTCTTGAGGATTGAGATATTAAATAGTTGTGAATTGGTAAATATGTCATTGTTTGTATTAGTAAGTAGGTGTAACATATGTTTAGTGTATTTTATTAGAAGACTTGATAGTTGTTGGAGTTTTTTTTATGGAAGAGAGCATATTTGGAGTAGATATTAATTGATAGTAATAAGATAGTATTAAATAGTTGGGATATTTGTATAAGAAGAAGTTTTTTTTATTAAATAGTATGAATAAACTGAGAAGTTTTGCTAAAAAATTTTTCAAATGTAGGTTTAGTTGAGCCTTTGCCTTTTAAAAAAATTCCTAGATATCTTATTGTTTCATCAAGTTTGTGGTTCATTGTTAAAATTTAAAG